AAACCTTACGCCACTTGATGCCATCACTAGATATGATAGAGTTATAGATTTTTACTTCAGAATTGCTTTTGTATTCTCTAAAAGTATAAACATTTNTATACTATTTGTTTCAATATTAATTGAATTGTCTAAAAACATTACGGAATTGTGTCCAAAATTAAAATCAAATCGATATCAAATTTTATGTGTATATTGTGACACATAAGTCACTACTATTAAACTTATTTCTTGTAATAGAGTAAGGAGCCCAAATTACGTCTTTGCGCCTAATTCGGTCCCTCGGCTGATCTCAGCTTAGGTACTGTCATGTGCTAGAAATTTATGAAATTAGTAGAACGCACGCATATAAACTTGTTATCATGTTATGAGCGTAATTGTTGTTTTTGTCGCAAGTTTATAACGTGTGGATAGTTTGCAAGCAGCATACTGTAGTGCAGGCTTCGGTGTGCGCCTTGATTTTATGTAAACAAACATGTTTTTTTATTTGTAATTTTGTGCTGATGTAATATGTACCTTTTATTTTACCGTTACAAAGTGATAATCTTATTGTGTCACAAGTAAAATGATTAAATAAAAATGTAAAAAGTAACTCTGTTCCAAATTTCGTCCCCAGTATCTCAGCTATGTCATCTACTGAAACTAAAATACATAAATCACTGAAACTACAACGCACACAAAAAATATTACTGCATTACGGGTGTAATTGTTGTTCAAAAATAAATAAAATGTTCTCGTTGCTTCAAGTGGTACCACAAAATGTGAGCATTAAACTTTTATTTTATACTATATATTTTATAATACTAATAAAAATAATAATCAAAACTTTTAATTTTTTTTCTTTTCTTTATTGAACAAAGCAGTTTTTAGTGACTTCTGCGTACTCTTATAACTATATACAAACTATGTATTTTACTTAAGCTGTTTATTTTTCGCACGTAAAATCATTTTTTTTGTAGATAATAGTGTTTCTGAGAGAAACATTTTACTAGATTATATTGACAGTTTCAATTGTTTTCTAAATAAGTCGAGGAGTGACGAAATTAGGAACACTTTTTTGGAAACGTCAAAACTGTATGCTTTCACATTTTAATTTTTTTCTCTGGTTGTATAAAAGTTTTAATAACAAAAATTATGGGATTTATACTAGCGGATTTGAGGTATGCATATGAATTTTTGTAAGTCAGGCTATTAATTACAGTCTGAATAAGAGACAAAAAACTTACGGAGGACGAACTTTGGGCCTCTTACCTTATATATATTATAATAGAGCTTTGTACGCGTTTAAAGGATTTTCTCTTACATTTTGTTGTGTTATAGCACATTCTCTTTATTTTCATGACGTCGAAATCTATAAACTCACTATTTTTACACTTTCTTTTTTATTCTGTATTTTTCTATTTTTTGACAAGAGTTTTGTGCAAAGCGGTACTGAAAGTGCGAGACTACGTAGTAGCTTTGACTAACGTAAGAATGGTTGCAAGGATAGAGTAACACAATGATAGAAAAATACGTAAACTAAAAGAATCATTATCCGTAAGAATAAAAAGGATTGTAAAAATATCGAGCGTAAATATTACGAGAATTTGCTGTATACCTAAAGTGATTATGAACGTCCCATGCACTTGCGATT